ATCAAAGTTAATGCTGAACATTTAAAAATTTACATAGCTACCCCACTATCCCTGGAAATTTCACATACCCCTTTCAGGGTGGGAGTGGTGTGGTGGTGGTGGATGGCAAATATTATTTGCCACTCATCAAAATCACAGATTTATATGTGGGCTCACACTAATACCTCTTCCTTGCCCCAGTGATGCTTCCTATTTTAATACAACCAGCTTTTAAAGTCAAATTCACACATTCTTCCTCCCTAAAAAACTTTTCTCTGACTGTACCCTCTAGCTCCTCACTGTGGTTTCCTTTTTGTGAATGTGAGCACAGACTATACACCCTTACACAATTGACACTCAGCTACCACATTGTTGAGCTACATTTGTTCTGTTTCACAGCTTTTAGTTTTGTCTGCTCATTTAACCTGTGCCAAGCACAGCACCATCCTTGTCTTGTCTCACTCAACAGTTGTCCTAGGAAAGACAGTTGACAAAGCCTCAGAGGTTTTTCTGCTCATAACAAAGAGACAACCTCTTTGAACCCTGGTTGCCTATGGTCCTATTGGAAACAGGCTGCTTACATGCCATTTGTTAATGGTTGACTGAGTGTTTTCACTGGGACACGGTGAGATAAGTGATCAGAGATGCTGTCTGGGTTGCCACAAGTTCTCTGCCTAAATAAGGTTGTTTCCAATAGTATATCACCTTTCCTCCTTTTCCCTTTCAGTAATATGAGATGGAAGATATTAAGGAAGTTTTACTTCTCCAGGAGAGCCCCAGATGTCTGCAGACAAGCATCCTGGCCCTAACCATGGCTCTAGCAAGGAATCTATCCCCAACCCTGACATTGCATAACTGAAACAGATGGGAGCTATTTGAATTTGGACTCACTGAGTTTTCATTAGGTTTAGTAAAATACTGTAGGACATTTTGTACAAATGAGAGATAATGTAATCTGGGCAATGCAACTGTTCAGAATTGTAGTCTGACTGTCAATAAGGTCCTCTCTGCCTCTTTAGATGGAGCTTTGTTATCACCCCCCTAGCCTGAGTCACCCTGGTTTTCTCTCCAGATCCTGGGGAAGGCACAGGGACTGGGACTGGATTTATTTTTCTCATTATTTCATTTCAGCATCAAGAGTACATACTTATTAATAACAAAATAATAATAATGAAACAGTGAACACAGCATAATTCATGTGCCAATTCTATTCTAAATGCTTTGCCTTTTTCTCCAGCTTTATTGAGGTATATATTTAAGGTATGCACTGTGAAGTAATTACCACAATCAAGCTAATTAACATATGCATCACCATTTTTTTGTGATGAGAAAACTTAAGTTCTACTTTCTTAGTAAAGTTTAAGAATACAAAGCAGTATCATTATGATCACCATGCTGGTACATTAGCTCTCGAGAACTTATTCATCTGGTATAACTGAAAGTTTTTATCCTTTGACCAATATCTCCCTATTTCCTCCACCTCACCAGCCCATCAACAACCATTCTACTCTCTGTTTTATGAGTTCAAATGCTTTAAATTGCATATATAAGTTAGATCATATGGTATTTGTCTTTCTCTGTCTTATTTATTTAGCATAATGCCCTCCAGGCTCATCCATATTGTTGCAAATGGCAAGAGTTTCTTCTATTTTCAGGCTTAGTAATATTCCATTTCGCATACCATATTTTCTTTACGCATTACTCAGTAGCTAAATGCTTTTGCGTTTATTAACTTAAATAATCCTCACAACAATTCTACAAGGAAGGTACTGTTGTAATCCCATTTTATGAGGAACTCTAAACATAGAGCAGTTAATAAACTTGTCCAGAAAATAAAATACTAAATGGAAGAGCTGTACCTTGAGTCCAGGCTATCTGGATCTAGAATCTATGATTGTTTAACCTTCTGGATACTGCCTCCCAATAAAAATTTGCTGAATAAATGATTAGTAACACTAAATATACAATGGCTAGTATTTACTATGTACTTACTATGTGCCACTCACTGCAATTATTTTGTATCATTTGACATTCCCTACTTCCCTTCTATGTAGACATGATTATGATTCTCATTTTGCAAATGAGGGGATAATAATAGGCACAGATAATTTGTCCAAGGTCATGCAGCTCATGGAAAAAAAATTGATTCCCTCCTGTCTGGCCCTAGAATCCATGCTCTTAAGAGTAAACTTCACTGCTTCCTACTAACTTAGAGGGTTCTTCTCAAAACCTCCTGAGATAAATTTTTATCATGTACCTGCTTTGACGCTGAGGAAAAATAATTATTTACAGTTAAAGCACTGCCCAAAGTTAGACTAATTAGTAAGAGACAGTAGAGTCTAGGACCCAGTTGTTCTGGCTTCAACTCCTCATCTTATTTCTCTCTATCACCATTTCTGTTGCTATGTTTGCATTTCTAGTTGTCTTGAATGGCTCATCCTCCAAGTCGGGCCAATCAGTGCAAGAAGAAATGGCCCAAATGCAGAGAGTTACTTGAACAAAAGAAGTCCCTTCTCTAGCATCATTGAATTCTATATAGTACTGACTTTCCAGAATATGACAAAAACAACATAAATATCAAGTAATCATGACACAGGAGACAACAGAGCACATCCAGACTGGCACTATTGACAGAAGATACAAGACAAAGTCTGTTTGGGCAACTTCAGGGCTGTAGGAAATTTAGTGGATAAATGACTGAGGAGAGGAGAAATGGGTTCTCCTCCCTTTCCCACTAAAAAGTGAAAGGGCAAACATGGAGAAAAGGGGAAAAATCCCCAAAAGCAGCAAAATAATTTCCAGTATAGCTATGTCAGAAAAAATAACAATACACATGCATAGCTAAAATATCAGGGCAATGAGACTAAGAAGAGCAGAGCCAGCCATCATAGAGGACAGGAAAAAAGAGAACAAATAATCTTATCTATAATTTTCAAAAGAAAAGTGACAAGAAAAGAATGAGGACAGCCGAAACCGGCTTGGCTCAGTGGATAGAGCATCGGCCTGTGGACTGAAAGGTCCCAGGTTCGATTCCGGTCAAGGGCATGTACCTGGGTTGTGGGCACATCCCCAGTAGGAGATGTGCAGGAGGCAGCTGATCGATGTTTCTCCCTCATCGATGTTTCTAACTCTCTATCTCTCTCCCTTCCTCTCTGTAAAAAAATCAATAAAATATATTTAAAAAAAAAAGAATGAGGGCAGCAAAGTTAAAGAACAGATCACATAATTAGAAGTCACTGGTATCTTCACATCTACTATAATGGCCATTTAATTCATAAACATATACATATTTATGTGTATATGGATACACACACCCTCTAAATCAAGCTACACATTTTTAAAGCTGTTCTTAGTGGCTCAGGTAATCCCAATTTCCAATGTACACTATGGGAAAGATTTTGCATAATAATTTGCAAAATGGGTAAGTTTTTGCAATACATCTTAAGAGTTAATACTCAACAATTCCGTCTCCTGATTTGATAGATCTCCTAGGAAGAATTGAGGGGGGGAGCTAAGAAGAGGCCTGGTATTTGGCCAAGTTCTATAGTCATAAAAGTTCCATTTTCCAGGGTCAGCTACAGACCAAGATAATTATTGTATCCATTAACCAATCCGCTATTGGTTCTGGAGCTGGCATTCAAAGCTTATCTCCAACACTGAGGCACTTTGACTCAAAACTCAATTTGTTCTCTCAATCCACTGTCAAAAGCATATGGACAAAGTTTTGTTTGTTAAATATATTTTATTTTTTTACAGAGAGGAAGGGAGAGAGATAGAGAGTTAGAAACATCGATGAGAGAGAAACACCGATCAGCTGCCTCCTGCATACCCCCCACTGGGGATGTGCCCGCAACCAAGGTACATACCCTTGACTGGAATCAAACCTGGGACCCCCCTAGTCCGCAGGCTGACACTCTATCTACTGAGACAAACCAGTTAGGGTTATGGACAAAGTTTTAATGAAACATGTGGCATACACAGAACAGGGTGCTTAAAAACAAATGTGTAGCTCATGTCTCAGGCTGGAAAAAATTACAATTTTAATCTAGGTATCTCAAGACTCACCATTCCTCTTCAGATACATTTACTACTGGATAAGGTTAAGAACAAAGGGACTGGATGATGGAGTCAGAGCCAAAGGTAGGACAACAAATTTAGAAAGTCACTCTAAGCATTCTTCGGTTTTTCCCTTCTCTTTTATTTTCCCTGGTCCAAAATTTTTCCCAACCACTCCCTGGAGCCAAAAGTGGTCTGAACTCCCTATGCTGAGAGAGAAAGTGAGAGGAACAGTATACCTTCAGAAGAGGGGAACAGTATATCCATCAGTCTGAGAACATATGCCATCCTCCTACCTGCCAAGGATTGGAGACCACGAAACCAACACTCACATTGAGTCAGCCAGAGGTCAATGACAAGAGTAAGACATCTCATCAAAAGGATTACAGAGAATGGAGGGTGGAGAAAAGCATAGTTAAGAGTTATAGGAAAGTGATACAACTTGTGTAGAAAATAAGTAAGGGCACAGGGGAAATTCCTGTACCACAAAAGTACATACCTGTCAGGGAAAGGTAGGAGGACCCTTGTTGTTTCTTGGGGCAGTGAGGGTCCAGATGGCTAGAGCCATTGGAGTGGAAATAGGGTGAATTTGCTCAGGGAAGCCACTATTCACCAACTGGGATAGAAATATTTAAATATTTTTAATGCCTAGTGTAAACCAGTAGGCTATCAGCTCTGGGTGGAAGATAGTGGAGAAGGAGCACCAGGGGCAGGAGGGTAAATAGTAAAAACGATACCAAGACAAAAATATCCTATCTTCAGAGTTTCACTGCCCAAAATCCAACTTTGCTTACAATATTCATGCCATACCAGTGATCCCGATATGGAATTGCTGCCAATCTCCTGTCTGCTTTTGACCCATAAGTTTTAGCTCACTTTATTGAGAGTTTGGGGATGATAAAAGGAGAGAGACTGGTGCCCCCTGAAGTGCCCATATTCCTCAGGGAAGAAGAGGGTGTGATTACCTTCTTGCAGAGGACCATCTGGTGGTCAAACAGGAAGAAGACCCGCTGTTGGTTGCGGCCATAGGGCTGGTAGATCCAGGCCATCTCCCCAGTGTAGATCAGCTCCGAGCTCCTGTCTAGGATGTCCTCACCCTGGGAAGGACATGTGACAGTGAGAGGCAGCCAGGCAGGAGTGATGGACCCATCACCTGCCTGGAGGCACCTAGGGCTATGCATAATCTGGGGCAGGAGTAGAACAGAAAGGACTGGTGGGAAAGGAGGAATGAAGGGAGGGACTCCTGAGAATCCTTGAAAGCCTCCATGAGCTGGATCTGGAAAGACTAATACTCTTATTCACCCTGAGGCCATATGAGCCCAGGGCCATCTAGAACTGCTATAGTCAATTGCCCTCTGGCCCTAGAGGTACCAGCTGCCATGAAGTTCATTCTCTAATTTGGACTCTTTTTCTCTATGAATCTCTCTCTGCCACAGTATTTCATCCCAGCATTTGTCTTTTAGATGCTTTCCTGTATCTGAAGGGTAAGTCTGAATAGGTGATATAAGTCTCTCTGTTTTTTGGATGAGAAAAAGGGAACAGGGGAGAGAAAGAAGGAGATGATAATAAAGGAAAAGAGAAACCACTCACCCTCTTACAATAGTGTGTTTCTTCCCCTAATAAGTTATTAAAATATATTGATTAAATAGGAAACCTATGACCACATGCTTTCTTGATTTATTATCCAGAGAGTTGGAAACAACTCCTCCTCCTTGTTATGTAGAGTCAGACACACAAAAAAGCACCAAGACACCTGCTTCCTAATTCTTCAATTCTATAGTCTCTAAAGGCTCCTTTTTTAATGGTAATTCTGCTAGGTCAGAGGTGTGTGGTAGGTCTGTCAAATGCTAAGTTAGACTTGGCACCTCTTTTCAAGGATCTTATTATATATCTTCAGTGGATAAGACTAATAGAGATGTGCTTGGAACTCATGGAACACAAGGCAAACAAAATCAAAGCCATGGGCACCAGGATGTGTGTTCCTGGGCCTATGTGCAGATGGGGACAAAGAGCAGTGCCCAGGATTAATACTTACTGAGCACCTATATTGGTCAGACATTGTGTTACACTTTCTCTCTTCTAACACTCACAGTTGCCCTGAGAGATAGATATTCTTGCTCTCATTTTATAGTCTTAGTTACAGAGAGGTCAAGTAATCAGCCAAGTTTATCCAGCTAGTTAGCTACAGATCTACAACCAAACCTCAATTCTATGGCTCCGGAGAATGTGCTCACTCTTACCATTACATTATGCTGTATCCAGGCCAAAATTATTGGAGAGTCAGTACTTTCCTCTCTCTGGGTCTCAGCTTTCCCAGCTGTTAAATGAGGTATCTGAGGAGGATGTCTAAGTTCCTAGCCCTGGTACTCAAAGCTTGAAGTCAGTTAGAAATAATGGCTGCTACATCACCCCAGAAATAATCAGAGGCAAACAGCACTGGGCCAAAGAGAGGGGTAGCTGGATATTATATTCTCAAGCATACCATTTTTTCCCAGTCTAAGGGGTGGAAAGGAAAAGAGGAGCAGCTCAGAGATATTACTGTGACTCTAGACTCCAACCCAGGGATACCTTAAAACTTAGATAACACTCCTTCTTTGGGAGCCCACATAGTAGCACAGAAATTCTGGAGGCCCAGATCTGGGAGAGGAAGTCCTAAGAATGAGGGACTATACAGGCCTTTCCTTTGAAGGAATGGAAAGGTGAGAGTGGTACCAGTCTGCCATGTCCCATCTGAGGTATGCCAGGAAGATGTGTCACCATCTATTTTGAATATATATGAAGTGAAATAAATCTATAAAAGGGGCCAATGCCATACAAGAATGGCCAAGATTACTTTTAGATGCGCCACTTACTAAATTGAGAATGATTGTACAAGGACTAGGACTACTCAGTGTTATCTGGTCCACCCACCGTATCAGTAACTAGACAAATTCTATTCTAAGTACTACTTATCACATGTAACTCCACCAAGTAAACAAAAACAAATAAAACCTTGAAAAAATACTCCTTATGCTCATCAAGGTGTTTGACAGTTGATGTCGGGAAATTCACATGTCCTCTTTTTGCCTCAGTTTTCTCATTTTAAAAATGAGGATACTAGCAGTACCAACCTCATTTGACTGTTGTGAAGATTATATAAATCAACATATATGAAGTTGTTAGGAAAGTACATATCATACTATAAGCTCTATATAAGTGAAAGTTATTCTATTGAGTATTACTGTGTGCCCTATATCCTGTGCTACATACATACTCCTATTCATACTCACAACATAATAAGAAATATACTGTTAATATCCCACAATCAAGGTCAGAGAAATTAGAAGTAATCGTTCTAAAGTGGCTGAATCCAGGTCAGACTCCCTCCAAATTCCATGTTCTAATCACTGAACCACAGTAGAATAATGATTCCTTAATGGAACAACCAGGTGTCCTGGAAGTTTTCTGAGGTGAGAATCTCAGAAGGCTTGGGTTCTAGACCCACTGCTGCTACCAATTTACCTGTGCCTATGAGAAATATGTTAACCACTCTCAATCTGTTTCCTTATTTGGACATTTGGAATAATACAATGGTTCCTGTATGGCTCACCTTATATGGCTGCTTGAAAGTGGCCATGTCAAATCAGTCCATGTGAAGGAAAGAGCTCTCTCAAAATTCAGAGCTCTCACCTTGCCCCCAAAGTGCAAACCTTTTCCACTGACCCCTTCCCCACAGGCCTTTTGTTCTCTTCCATTCCTCCAGAATTTTGCTCACACTGTTTCCTCTTCCTAGAATGTATTTGTCCCCACTCCCCCCGCCCCTAGGCAAAAGCACATCTCACTCATCTCAATTCTCAGCACACCATTTTGATTACAGGCTGATTGTCTGATGTAGGGTTTATTTTCATACAGTTTATTTTCAATGCTGCCTACTGACAAGAGAGCAGAGAAATAACAAATCCATCCAGCACCAGATTTGGTCTCCTGGTCCCAGGAACATGCCTAATCAAGCCAGTTTAGCTTTTAAACAGATGCTCTTGCTGCCTCCATCATGTTGGGGCTTTGTGTATCCTCCAACTTCTTTGGATTAAGTCACCCAATGGTAAACTGCAATAGGTCCTTGAGTATTACACAACCAGGATGTGAGGGGAAGGGTTTCATGAGGAGGAAATCACAATCATGTTCCCAAACATGAGCTCTAAACTTGGGTTCCTGGTAAAAAAAATCTCAAAAAAAGATTAAAAAGAAGGTGTTGGGGACATGTTCCTTCTCCCTTCCTTTCAAGTGGATCTAATGCGTGTAAAGGGTGGTAAAGTGATAGCTAAACCAAATATCAGCATCAGAAAAATTAGGAATTCAAATTCTCCAGAAACTACAGTCCTTGGAACAGTCATTTTCTATGCTGTTCCCCTAAGTATTGATTATTATTTTGAGGTTGTATCTATGTCCAATGGAATGGGGTTGTGAGGTATTATTTTTATAAGCACATGACAAAAACAAAACAAAACACAGAATTTGGTCTGTCAATTTGACAGGGATGATAGTCAGGGCCTGAAGTGTGAAGGCTTGGGTAGACCTAATAGATATGTCATGGTGAGGTGATCCTAACAAGAGGAAAATAAGTATGTTGGCTGGCCTATACCAGAGAACCAACCTTGTATTCTGTGTTTGGGAGTGAATTAGGATATAGATCTCTTCAGCCAAGTATTCATCTGGTGGTGATGAAATTCCAGGACTTGCATGAGATTTGAAAGGTTACCTAGTCAACCCAATTGTTTCCTGGGAATAAGAAAAATGATGAACTTTTCCTTTCTTAATGAAGCACTGTTACAAAGATTTATCCAACCTTCTTAGAAAGCTATTCAAGTACACGATACCTCTCATTAGCATGAAGTTTTGCTTTGGCTCTCATCTAAATCCTTCCTGCTGCTCTTCAAATCTAATTCCTCTTCACCCATCCATGATTATGTGCAGTTCTAGCTAAGCTGTTCAGAATTCCCAATATCCCTGTTGGTAAGGATCCTACCTCCCAGTCTAGGACAGAGGCCTGCCACTGGGCAATCTTGTCAATATTCTCCAAACGCCGCTTGCGTTCATTGATCTGTTGAGTCACATTTCTCATGACAGCCAAAGCAGCTGCCACATACCTGTAGTCACTGCAAAGACACAAAAGTACAAGTTGAATGACTCAATGTTCCAGAGAACCAATTTGCTACATGCCAACCCTAACATTCATTTTCTTGCTCCTACTTAGTATAACAGAACCCTGGTTTTCAGATAGAAGCCATGTCACATGGAGACTACATTACCTATCAGTTTTTACAGTAAGGGGTGACTATGTGACTAAATTATGTCAAATGATATGTAAATAAAAGTGTGGAGAATAATTTTTTGAGAAACCTCTTTTAAGGAAATTGGCATACCATTCTTTAGCCCTTACTTAATCATGTTACTTAGAATATAGATTTGATGGCTGAAGTTCTAGCAGTCATCTTGGACCATAAGGATAAGGTCCAGACTCCTAGAGATAGGTTAAGAGAAAGGTGGAGAAAGTCCAAGTCTCTGATGACTATGGCAGCCATAGATTACCTCCCTGTAGAAATATTTTTCATAAGATAAAAAGTAGACCCATATCTTTTCTACACAATTATTTTTGTGTCCTACCTGATACAACCAGCTAAAAACCAAGGGATCTTTGCACATGCCTTGGTCCAGACAACTTTACCATTTCTTCTATCACCTATTTCTAGGAAACTCTGCCCCAAATCACTGTGAAGTAACATCCTCCTGAACAATATATAGATAATACATAGAATAGTGGTTAGAACAGAGACTGAAACCAGACTCCTTGGGCTCAAATCCTAGTTTTGTCACTGACTAGTGGTGTGGCCTTTGGCAAGTTTCATTCACCCTCTCAGTGACTCAGTTTCCTTAGTTTCCCACAAAATGAGGAGAATTACCTTAGGATTTATTGAGTGTTTAATTATCTATGTAAACTATTTTATTCCTTTACTCCAGTTTGTTTTCTGTACAACTGCCAGACCTCAGTCTTCAAACATTACTGTATTTAATCACTTCCAGTGACAAAATACTTACTATGCCTCCTACCCAGTTTATTTTGTCTCAAGAAGAAGTCTGTTAAAAAATAAGTTCTTCTTTATCCTGAATCTTTATGAATGTTAGCTATTATCAGTTTTTCTTCTGGATCCTACTGTTGACTCATATTTAGCTTATGGCTGACTAATGTTTCCTAAGTCTCTTTGAAATATGCTGTCTGGAAGCTGCATGTCTCTCAATCTGTAGTTTAACTGTTGATTTATTAAACACAACTGCAAATCTTTACTTTGGTCATGTTGCATTTCATCCTTTTACAATAGATCCTACAGCCTATGGGGGATATATTGGACTCTGTAACATTGCCAAAGTTATTCTCTGGCACTACTATCTGCGCTTGCTATTTAGAAGCAGAATACGGTGATGTTAGAAGGGGTGGTTACAGTGTAGAGTAGAAGCTGTTAACATAAACAAGAACCTCTGTTCTTTGGGCCATTCCTCTATCTGATTTGAGAGCATCAGGAAAAGGCCTTAAGCTACTTTCTGGAAGGTAAAGTAGTATTGGGAAGCTATACTGCCCAATAAGGTAGCCACTAGCTACATTTAAGTAAAATAATTTTTTTGTTCCCAAGTTTTATCAGCTACATTTCTCAGTATTCAGTAGACATATATGGCCAATGGTTAGAATATTGGACAGCATAGATATAGAGCTTTTACATTACTACAGAAAGTTATACTGGACAGCACTGGCATGAAAATGTTTATTACTTCAAGCCCCACTCAGCCATGAATTAATCCCTGCCACTGTGCAATACTGTCAGTCAACCTTTGCCATGGTTACCTGGGTGCCTTTCTCACAATGGATATAGAGGAAATATTCCCATCTCTAACTTGCCCCTTTAGCTTTAGTAGTGTGTGAAAAAAGTAAATAGCTGTGGTCCAGTTTGAATCCTGCTCAGAGTCCCGAGGACTCCAGATGAGTCTGGGCCCAGGCCCCTAATGAAGAGATTGACTGAAGCAAGATTGTACTACTCCAGATACATCAGCTAAATGCCCTCTTGTCAGCTCAAGGAAGGTTGGGTGGCAGGATGGGGACATGTCGCCCTTCTGTAAGCACAGGTAGTATTATTCTCCATTTATCACTGTCCATCCATCTAATCTACCTCAGCAGCCACCCTGACTGCCTGCATTTCAGTCCCACCTATCTTAACACCTATCACACTAAGCTTTTAAGCTGGCAGCAACTTCTAATTGCCTTCCAATCCAAGCTACTCTGACATTCATCACAGGATCTGCTATCTTGATGCAGCTTGCTGAACCTGCTGAAAGGGGTAGTCTGTGACCTGGGTATAGTTCTGGGCCCAATAGGGCATGCTGAAGGAAAATAGGGATTGATGTAGCCTGTCACTCTCTGAGACATTCTTTCAGAACTCTTGATCCCAGGGGATAGAAGGACAGGAGACCAGGACCCAAAGGGAAAGGAGGTCTTGAGGCAGGGGTTCCAGTTACAAGGTGAAGTACCACAGGAATGGCAAATCCCAGGCAGATGACCTATCTTATTGGTTCCCATTAAACTCGAAAGGCCATGAGGTTGCTTTGACCTAAGAAACTAACATAGCTTTTTACTGTGCTTTGAACATGGTCTAGCTGAGCTCTTAAAAGCAATTATGTAACATATAATTTACCTAGTTGAAATCATCCACCCCCAAGTATGGTTTTTAGAGCCTCCTGCTAGGTTCCATGGAACAGATACTCAGGATTAGGTAGGAAATGAACTGTGATATAAAAACATCTGAGAACCACTGTTTGAATATACCGGTTTTAAAACTATTGGTCTGGAGGATGCTCTACTGAGATTTAGGTACAATAGTGGCTGCTTCTGGTCATTTAACACCATGAAGTATAACTGTGAATGGCATTTAGGCTCATGATATCACTAGTTAACAGAACCGGAAGACACCTTGCAGATGGGCTAAAACAATGGCTGACAAACTTTCTTGGGCATGGAATCATTTGGAGAGCTCTTTAAAAAGGTATAAAAAGTTAGGTTCCCAGTCCTGGATAGGTGGCTCAGCTGGTTGGAGCACCATCCTGTACACCAAAAGGTTGTGGGTTTGATTCCAGGTCTGGGCACATACCTAGGTTTCAGGTTCAATTCCAGGTTGGGGCATGTATGGGAGGCAACTGATTGAGGTTTCTCTCTCACATTAATGTTTCTCAAGTCAATAAAGATATCCTCGAGTGAGGTTTTTTAAAAACAAAACAAAAAAACAACTTACAGTTAAAAAAAAAAAAAGCTAAGTTCTCAGACCACAGTCCAAAATTTGTGTCCCTGTTTTTCCAAGGACTTGCTCTTTGTAATTTCACTGTCTGAGCCTTAGTCTCTCCAGCTATAGAAGGAGGAAATCTGACTAGAATACGTTCCTTTAAGGGTCTTTCCATTATAAGTGCCATAAATATTTTCCATTTTTATTTTAAAAATATCTTAATTTTAGTGGGGGTTCTTCAGTGTCCTATGTTAGCTCTCACAAGAAACTGTGTCCTTAGAAAACTTGGCACTCAGTTCTGACAATGAGTTGTATTAATTTTTTTAAGTGAGATTTAGTCACCTCCAAATTTCATATCTAATGAATAGTCCCATCATTCCCAAGCTAGCAAACAGACTGAAGGAGGAGAGAGAAGAATCCTCCTTTGCAAGGTCCTTCTCTCTACCTGCCTCCCTCAGAGTCAACAGAGCATGGAATGCAGAATTACTACTGGTGGTGTTACTCACACAAAAGGAGAGTCCAGTGTCACTGTATTTGGATTCATATCTGAAATCTGTTCAGGGCTCCAAAACTATTGAAGCACATGACCCATAATTTGCTTAGAAAAACATCAACTTGAAAATAAATGCATGGTTTGACCTAGAAGTTTGACATAAACAAAACCAACTGGCCAACACCCATGGCCTTATGCAACTAGGTCTACAAGTCAGATCCAAGGAACCTAGGCAATGGAGCCAAATAAAAGTAGAAAGCAGGCCTAATACAAATCAGATAAGAAGCAAAAACAATTGGGCAAAGGCTTTCTTTCTACTTAGAGTGTTCAATCAGAAAGAAAGCAGAGAGCTGGGCCAACTGGTCTAAGGTCAGGGACTTAATACCAATTAAAGGCGGTCTAGAAACAGGCTGAGGACTCTAGTTCATGAAGTAAAACACTTGAAAGAGTGGGAGAGAGGGGGATGGTTCACTTTAGATCATCCCCATTGTTGGGGATGACTCCCAGCATATACCTTACTGGTAGGGGGTTAGAGATGCCATTTCCATTCTGAGAGATAAACTCCTTAGTCCATTTTGAGTTGGTTTTCTTGAAAATACTAAAAAAGTTTGAAAAAAACTTCAGGGGAAGTTTCAAGTCTATTTTCCCCCAGTATGTTCAGGGTCTAATGGGAAAGTACAGTTGGAATGAGGCAGAGCAGGAGAGAAAAGATAAAGAAAACCAAGGAGTTAGCCTTGCAGAATAAATATAAGGTCAGTATAGTTGGGCAGGCTGTTACCAAAATATTTAAATCTATTAAGCAAAATAGAAAATAACAGTTGAACAATTATTCCATCTGTGTTGAATTACTTGGCTAAACTCAGGACTAAGGACCAGACTGTAGGCTCCCTGAAGGCAGGGTTTAAGTTGTACAATAATGATGATGCATAATGATTTTTTTGTGCATACTGACTTACAACTTTTTAAAAAGAGAACGTGATCATATTTAATACACAAGTCTGATACAACCAAAAAGTAAAACACCAGAATAAAATAGTAACAAAAAACATGGTATTTCATTTGCAACACATGAGAAATGGTTAACATCTTTAGTCATAAACAAGCTCTTAAAAATCAGTAACAGAGACACTATAATGCAAGGAAACTTGATTTACAACTTTATAAGCAACTCTCATGAGCCTTCCCTTACTTTATACACATAACAACCTTGTGACGTAAGCAAGAATATGTCATCATACCATTGTGCAAAGAAGCTAACAGAAGCTCAGACAAGGAAAAAGAACATACATACTCAGTAAGAACCAACATGTAGAGGAGGCTCTCTCCTTCACTCTTGCCTCCATTAATCCCTTACCTATGGTCCTGGGCAGTATACTTGAGGAGCTCAGCCAACTGTAAGGGATACTTGCAGATTTTCTGGACTGGAGTGAGAAGGAAACCATCAATAGCTATGTCAATCATCTGCTGCAAGAGGCGACAGGCCTCAAAGAAGTGCTGATAGCGGCTGTCCTTCATCAGTTTGGAGAGCTCCATGCAGGCGTCCAGATGGTTGTTACAGTACTCAGAGTATATCCAGAATCCATCTTGCTGTGAGCAGAAGGAAAAATGAAGAGAAAGTAAAAGACTGCTGAGGATTCCAAAAGAAGTTTTGGAGAAATGGAAAAACAGACCATGTTGTTATGTAGGAATATTAACATGATAATATCAATCTTCCAAAATTAATTCATAATTTAATAATAAAAAATGAATTATTTAGAAACAAGAAAAACTTATTGTAAAACTTCATATAGAAAAATAAATAAGTAGCAATAGTAAAGATATTCTATAAAAAAGGGTAATGAGGACAGACTGGCCCTCACAATAGGAAAATACACAACAGCAATAAAACTTTAGAAATTTCTGGCAATGGCAGACTAAATTTTTTAGATAAATCTTAGCCAGAAAAGCTAGAAAAATATAACAATTTCTGTTCAAAGAAATCACATCATCCAGAGGCTCAAACTATCTCCACAGAATATTCTTTAGGAAATATGCCTTGGAGTATTTAGGGGTAAAGAGGTCATGATGTATGCAAATTAAACAGATGGCTAAGAAAAATATATGAGTGGAAGTATGTACATGTACATATACATATAGAGAGGTGGGAAGAGGAAAGAGAAAAGAGAATGAAGGAGAGCATATTCAAATTATAATGTAAAAGCAGTGAAATGTTATGTTAACAATAGGTGAATCTGGGCAAATGGTATATGAATGTTCTTTGTACTTTCCTTAATTTACAACTTTCCTGTGAGTTTGAAATTATTTCTAAGTTTAAAATAAACCTCTACAAATTTTCTTATACATTGTTTAAAACTCATACAAAGATTATCTGATACATAAACAAAACCGAAGAGAAATAATAGGCAATGCAAATTGATAGATACAAAAAATCAAGATTGAGTTATTATACAGACTTAAAAAAGTATTATTTAAAATAAATACTAAATTGGCAAGCCCCACAGATGAAAAGAAACTAGAAAAATATATAAATAAGGAGGGAGAGAGTGTGAGTGAGTAAAGGGGTGAGAAGGGCATGGGTAGACATGTGTGGTATGTGTGTGAATGAATGAGGGACAGATAGATATCTCAGGAGTCCCAGGAACTGGAAGATCAGGATCTCCTAGAGGGGGAGCCCCTGCTGCCACCACGGGCACCCCAGACTGGTTCGGCTTTGGTGGGGAACCCATGCCATCTTGTAGAGGGGAGTAACGGAGGCCAGAAGTGCTGCCACACCAAAACCCAGACCAACTTCACATAGCTCCTCAGGACCTGTGCAGGGAGCCGCTTGCCAGCCGTAACACATGTGGAACCACCACCATGCTCCAGCAGTGAGCAGCGTGATACCACAATGTAGGTCCCAATGTCTGCAGTGAGTGCTCGCCAGACAGACCTCCTGAGCTGTGCCTCCTTGCCAAAGCCCAAACCTAGTGTCCCAGAATCCCATGCTTCAGGTCCCACGTTGTGAGTGCAAACCATGGGTACCCCACTCCTTGCTCCATCCCTGGTCCTAGTACAGAGCCACAGCCCAGTGCATCTACACCCCCACCAAGACAGAGCCCTCGCCCGGTGATTACCCCACCCCCCGCATAGACAGAGCCTTTGTCAAAAGTGAACTCTGCCAGCAGCACAGACAGAGCCTTTGGCTGGTGTGCACCCCACCCCTGGCACAGACAGATCCGCAGCCCAGTGTTTGCTATGCCCCCGGCAGAGACAGAGCCTCTGACCAGTGTTGCCTGACCCCTTCCCAGACAGAGAGGCAGCCTGGTGTGTACCCAGCCCCCAGCAATGATGGAGCCTTGGGCCAGTGTGTGCTACACACCCAGCAGATACAGAGCCGTTGATAGGTGGGTGCTCGGCCAATAGCACAGACAGAGCCTTCGGCTGATGAGTGCCCCGACCCCGGCATCGAGAGAGCCTTTGAACTGTGCATGCTCTGAACCCAGCACAGACAGAGCTGTCACCCGGCACACGCCCTGCCCCCACCTCAGGTCAGAGCTGCTGGTGGGTCCTGGTGTGCCCAGCAACAGGTCACAGTACCATGCTGCAAGTGCACTGCCAGAGGGACCTAGGCACCATCCTGCCTTAGGAGCTAAGGCTGCACAGAAAATTAGATGCCAGAGGGTTCTTGGCCCTCACAGAGAGTCACAAACAAGAGCAACTATGCACCCACATGCGCCAACCCCAAGAAACAGACAACTGAGGGATCAGAAACATGGGAGAAGGGAGTACGACTCAGAGGAGAGACAATAACAGTGTGAAGCTCAAGAAAGACCCAACTCCTGGGCTAGGGGTCCAGGACCATTGGACTGCTAGGGGCTTTAGTGCCTGGGACCCCCCGCCGGGAGCCCAGAGCAAGAAAGAGACAGCAAAAATAGGGAGACAAAGAAACAAGCCCCAAGGAAAGAAAAGGAAGAATAGCCAGAAAAGGATCTAAATGAAACAAAGGCATGCAAAATGTCAGAAAAAGAATTCAGAGTAAGGGTCATACAGTTCCTAAACAGGCTAGATGAGAAAATCAACAACTTACATAAGAATCAAGAGGAAATAAAAAATGATACAGTTACAATAAAAAACACAATGGAAGGTTTCAACAGTAGACTAGAAGAAAGGGAGGACCGCATCAGCGAGCTAGAAGACAGGGCAGGAAAACACACCCAATTTGAATAGCAATTGGAGGGAAAAAAATAGAAAGCAGGTGGAGAGCTTAAGGGAGCTTAGGGACAACATGAAAAAAAGCAACATCCATATAATAGGGATGCCAGAAGGACAAGAAGAAAAGCAAGGATTAGAAAACCTATCTGAAGAAATAATGACAGAAAACTTCCCTGACTTGAGGAAGAAAAAAGTCATATAAGCACAGAGATTCCAAAACAAGATGAACCCCAAAAGAGCCACATGAAGACACGTCATAATTACAATGGCAAACATTAACAACAAAGAGAGAGACAGAGAGTTACCTACAGGGATCTCCCATTAGATTATCAAATGATTTCTCAACAGAAACACATCAGGCCAGAGGGGAATGGAATGAAGTATACAAAGTGAAGCAAAGCAAGGGATTGAATCCAAGAACACTCTATCCAACAAGGATATCATTCAAAATTGAAGGGGAAATCAGGAACTTTGCAAATAAAAAAAGGCTAAGGGAGTTTATTACTACCAAGCCAGCAATGCAAGAAATGCAAAAGATACTGTTGTAAAAAGAAGAAATAGAAAGGGAAGAAGGAACACAGGCACAAAAAATAAAAATAGCTACAAACAAATACTTATCAATAATACCTTTAAATGTAAATGGATTAA